ATAAAATAATAACTAAGATTTAAGAGAAATTTCAATTTATAATATAAGTCATTGAAAATAAATTCCTTGTGTTAATCATAGTTTGTCCAACAATTTACCACATTTTTTTCTATTATAAATAAATTTGTTAAATGACAATGTGTATTATCTTGAAAAAAATTTGTGGTAATTTTTTTTTCATATTAAATATTAAAAAAGTTGCAGAATAAAATTATATTACATCAATAAATAAAAAACACAAATTATTTAACATAATAAATACATTTACTAATAATCATTATAAAAAAACCAATAATATTATAAAAAAAATGTAGTGATGCCACAGTATTGTGTCAAATGTGGAGCAACACTATTCACATTATTCGCTTTATGATTTCGAGCAAAAAAAAATCGATTCCTTAGATTTTATCATGAAAGTATTTTTGTACTCTAAAATATGATCGTCTAATGGGTAGACTAATATGCAACTTGTCTTGACCCGAATCGAATTGCAAAATCTTCATGTACTCCTATCAGCTCAGAGCTCTGGCACAATCTTGACCCGAATTTGAGTGTGACTTAGAGCTGCTGGACTTAGACTTCTGCGACCTCCTTTCCACTTCCTTGTTGTGATACTTTAATTTTCTTTCATTGTGAGAGTCCCCATCGGTAGGACCTCCTGCAATCATCTAGATTACGCCTTTCTTGGGGGGCCTATCCTCTTGCTCGTCTGACCATTTTCATTTTTCCACGACCTCCTGGTTATCCCTCTTTTCTTTATTCTTTAGTACGAACTCCTTCAGGTGCCCAGCTCGAATGAGCCGCTCACTTTCATCTTTTAGATCTCGACAATTGTTGGTCGAATGATGGTACTAGCAATATTCATCGCCATGCGAGGGTACGTACCCTCTCCTCCTTGGAAGGGGGTTAGGTCGGGAAAGGATTGTTGTGTTCCTCCACCTCTTGAGAACCCCAAAGACCTCTTTCTGGAGTACGGCCAAGGGGCAGACCTCTTTGTTTGGAGACCTCTTTCACTTGGGCGAGGCTTATCCTCGGCCCGCTTAACCTTGGTCTTGTCAGCCTAAATAAAGTAAGCTTCTAATGATTCTTCCATGTTAAGGTAATTACTACACATTGACAGCAGCTCATCGAACGACATCGCCAGCCTCTTTGCCAACGAATTTCTAGATGGTCCTGGTTGGAGTCATGGGGTAAGACCCCCTGCCTTGATCCCCTCGAAGGCTGAGGGGACCTCTACACATTTCTTAGTGTAATGAGCTACATATTGTCGAAGAGTTTCTCCTTCTCTTTGTTTCATGTTGATTAGTGCTAGGTAGGTCTTCTCATGCTTTCTCGCGCTCGAAAACTTGTTAATGAACTAGGAGCTGAACCTCTCAAAGTTGTATACCGATCCAACGGGTAACTGGTGGAAACAGTCCCGCGCTAACCCCTTTATCATGGTGAGGAATGGCATACAATAGACAACATCCTTGTATTTGTGAAGAACTGCTACATTCTCGAACGACCTCCAGTGCCTGGACGGATAAGTTGAATCGTCATAAGATAAGCTCAACTTGCAAAAGTTGTTGAGCAAGTCTGCCTCCAAAACCTACTCGAAAAACGGGTGACCGTGGATCCTTGGTGATACTCTACCCTCAACCTGGGCTTGCAATTCCCACACTTGGGCTGCCAACCGCTCAAGCATGGGGTCCTGAGCTCATGGCGATATGTGCGAAGGCGACGATGTCGACCTTGCTTCGGCTTCCTTCTACCTCCTTTGAAGTTGCGGTTGTTAGACAAGAACATCTGGCTGGTTTGGCGCCCGAGCCAAAGCTACAGCCTTTGCTGCAATCCGATCTAACTCAGCCCTAGTGAGCTAGATAATCTAGTCTCTTCTAGGTGCCTATTGTGCCCTAGTATTGACAAATTGGCCTACTTCCTACCCAGGAGGTTGGTTGACCCCCGAATCCTCTTGTTGTTGTATCTCCACACTTTGAACCGCTGCTAATTCTTGCACTTCTTTTACTCTTGTTTTTCCTTGGACAACTGTCGGCTTCTGCATTGCCAGAGATCTCCATGACGTGTTTCACACCAAAATTAGTGCCGAGTGGGGTGCCACCAATGTTTCCTGCAGTGTACGAAAAAGAAAAAAATCTATGACAATTATATCATCTTCTTATCCTATAACATAAACGAATTTAAGCAAATGAGTGCAAAAAAGAGAGAATAGAGAGTCAAATGATAAGTTTACTTATCTCCGAGGTAGCTATTCTTACTCAAATAGCTTGTTTTGGCTGTATCGCACTATGTATCATTTGATAACCCTAAAAATCTGCGCCAGCCGACACCGGCTAGGCTGGTGGAGGGTTTGTTCCAATCGCTTGCGAGGTCCAGTCGCACCTAACTCCTTGATTTTTTTTTTTTTTTTTTTTTTTTTTTTTTTTGGGAATTCTTGTCTTCCATGATCTTCAAAGTTCCTTCCTAACAGTTTGTGTCAAAAATTGATTAGCCTCTTATAGCTGGTTAAAGACTATATCATCCCCCAAACGGTGCCAATTTGATATGAAAACTTTCTTAACCTGAATCGAATTGCACAATCTTCACGTATTCCTATCAGCTCGTGGCTCCAAAAAACTTGCAATGCACCAGGAGAGGTCCCGACGTAGACTCTTTGACGCTCAAGTTCATATATATGTTTGAGGGAGTACTAAAAACTATAATTTCGCGCATATGTAATGCTGTGTGTAAGTAAAAAGAACCCGGTTACCCTTAAATACCTAGGGTAACTTGGCTTCCAAAAGAGTCCTAATTAGAAAAAAGATCCTCCCGTATCTACTTTTCTAACTCACCATGTCTCTAGGATCTTAAGACTCCTTCACAAGATATATTTTTCACCAATGCATGATTCTCTTCCCTTGACCGCTCGGCCCGTCCAGGATGTCCCGCGCCCCCGATGTTGTTGCGGTTCTTCTGGGTGGTCCGCCCTTCAGTCGCCAGCGGATCTGAGTTTTGAGGTAGCGTCCCCTTGGTTGGCGATCGGTCTGTGATGGGTGGTTCCCTCTCGGTCGCCGGTGGATCTTTGATTAGCTGTGGTATG